GGTTTTAGCTCACGTGTGCAGCTAAAATGGAGACATGAAGGTGGGTAGGTACTCAGAGGACTCAGATTTCTCCAGACTTTCCGTGAAATCTGGATCCAGTGAAAGGCAGTGCAGGGGAATCCACCTGTCCATTGGGGCTATTCATTTTGTCCAATTTGGAATGTCTGGCCTAGACCAGGATAAAGTGGGAACTGTGGGGACACCAGAATTCCCAGAGTCCTGAAGCATGGCCTCATGTCCCCCGCCTCTGTCAGTTTGCAGCCCAGCTGAAGGGCAGGATCAGCCCACCCTTCAAGCAAGCACCCCTGGAACCCCATTCGCCGTGTGGCCTGGACTTCTGCCCCACCAATTGCCACATCAACATCATGGAAGTGTCCTACCCCAAGACCACTCCCTCCATTGGCAGGTCCTTCAGCATCCGCTTTGGTCGAAAACCCTCCCTCATTGGCCTTGACCCAGAGCAAGGTAACTGCACGTGTCTGTTAGAAATTGTGTTTGGATCTCACACCACAGACACTCAAACAGAAACATGTCTGGCGGTCAGCGGTCCAGGGCTGGAATGGTGGCTTCACAGTCATCCAGGATCTAGGCTCCTATCTGCCTACACCATCATCTCTATGGTGTAGAGGTGGCTTTCATCCTGAAGGATGCCTCATGGTATAGAATGGCTGCTAGAGTACCAATCATCACGTCTGCATTCCAGGCAGGAAAAGATCACAGTAGTTAAAGGCATATTAATACTAAACCAAAACTTTTGTCTTGAAGTAATCTAGGGGATTAAAATAATATTTAAAAGGGAAAATTCTCGTATTTATTGGGAATCCTAGAAATGGATTATATACTTCTAGCAAAGGGGGTTGTGGGTGTCTGGGCATGGTTTCCAAGTGAGCTCTTCCTTTATCCATGTAGGCCACCTGAACCCTATGTCCTACACCCAGCACTGCATCACCACCATGGCTGCCCCATCCTGGAAGTGCCTGCCTGCTGTGGATGGGGACCCTCAATGCCAAAGTCCCCGTGACAGCAGCTTTGGGCCAGCCAATGGGGCCCTGGGCCCAGAGGACCGGGGTCTGAGCTTTCTCCTCAAGCAGGAGGACCGTGAGATCCAGGACGCCTATCTGCAGCTCTTTACCAAACTGGATGTGGCCCTGAAGGAGATGAAACAGTATGTCACCCAGATCAACAGGTGAGCCCTGACCCCAAGAAGGAATTGAGGGTGTGTGTGTGTGTGTGTGTGTGTGTGTGTGTGTGTTAGTCAGGATTCTTTGTAGTGGGGGCTGTCCTGTACATCATAGGCAATTTATCAGCATCCCTAGATGCCAGGAGCATCTCTGTTCCCCAGCCGTGACAAACATTGCTAAATACCCCCTCAGGGGATGGGGGCAACATCACTCCTGATTGAGAGCCACTACTCTAAGGAAATGATAGATATAGGCAGCAATCATTAGCAGAGGCTGAAACTATTTGGGAAAAGGTTTGGGGGACTTTGGAACTTTAACAGAAAGAGAGATGGTGTCCCTTTTGGTGTAATGCAACAGGGGCACACACAGTACCATCTCACCAACAGAAATGGCACTGTTCTTGAATCAAAGAGCTAGGTCTCACTACTCAACTGTAGGACGTGGAGGATAGAGCAGTGGTTCTCAACCTTCCTAATGCCACGACCCTTTAATACAGTTCCTCATGTTGTGGTGACGCCCAACCATAAAATTATTTTCGTTGCTACTTCATAACTGTAATTTTGCTACTGTTATGAATCGTAATGTAAACATCTGATATGCAGGATGTATTTTCATTGTTACAAATTGAACATAATTAAAGCATAGTGATTAATCACAAAAACAATGTGTAATTATATATGTGTTTTCCGATGTCTTAGGCGACCCCTGTGAAAGGGTCGTTCAACCCCCAGGTTGAGAACCGCTGGGATAGAGGATGGTGACATGGCACCCCGGGGACACAAGTGGCCAAATCCAGAGGGAGGGTGATTCTAGATGGAAATAGCTGATGGGGGTTGGGGTGGGGAGCAGGTCCAGGGAGGAGGAGGAGGAGGATCTGTTAGAGAAGAGACATACCAACCACATGCAGTGTCTGGACCTGGCTAGGGTTGTGTTTCTAACACACCATCTGTGAAAAGACCCTGTGCAGACAACCAGGGGTATTTGAACATGGACTGGATACTAGATGGTGTTAAGGAATTACTGATTTGGTAGGTATGGTAACGGCCATCTGGTTAGGTTCAAAACAGTGTTTCTCAGCCTTGACATTAAGGACACCATCTTTGCGGTGTGGTGTGCAGTGTAAGGTAGTTAGCGGCATCCCTGGCCTCTACTCATTGGATGCAGTATTTCCCCCCACCCCTGTCCTGCTCCAGTTGTGACAACTAACAAATGTCTCTGGACACTGACAAATGTTTGCCCCTCAGGAAGTATGCTGAGTTGCTCAATGTTTCCTCTGGGAGGTGCAGAATTACCCTTAGATGAGAACCATTTCTTTAAAAGAGAGTCCTATGTGCTAGACACACATAGGGAAGTGTTTGTTTATAGGGGAAATTTATGATAGCTTAGCTAGGTTTTAAATACTCCAGAAAAAGAAAGAGCAACGGGAAAGACTGAGGAAACAAAAATGAACCCTGAGTTGCCATTGTTGAAGCTGGCTATGCGTGCCTGGCATTCTTCATACGGTTCCTTCTACTTTCTTGTATAATGGAAATTGTCTGTGATAAAAGAAAAAATAATGTAGGGGTTTGAGCCAGGAGAGTCTGGGTTTGAATCCTGGGCCTGCTATGTATTAGCTGTGTGACCTTGGACAAGTCTCTTGATTTCTCTGAACCTCAATTTCCTCATCTGTAAAATGGAGCTGATCATAATACTGACCTCATTGAGATGTAATAGGATTTCATCAGCCAGGGTTTATTGCTCACATACAAGGTACCAGACACTCATTTAAGCACTGTACATATTTTAACTCCCTTAATTTTCATACCAGCCTGGGACATAGATGCTGATATTACTCCATTGTACAGATGAGGAAACCACATCTCAGAGAGGTTAAATAATTTGCCGTAGGTCTCTAAGCTAGCAAGTGGCAGCATCGAGATTTGAATCTGGGGTCTGTCTGTTTTAAAAACCTATGCACTTGACCATTAATGATACTTTGTGCCACGGGCTGACAAACTATGGCCTGTGGGCCAAATCCAGCCCGCTGCCTCATTGTCTTAAAGTCTCATTGGAACACAACCATGCGCATTCATTCCCATGTTGTCTGTCGTGCTTTCACATGAATGCGGCAAAGTTGAGTAGTTGTAACTGAGATCGTATGGCCTACAACGCCGAAAAGATGTGCTCTCTGAACCTCTGCAGCAACTTTCCCAGTCGTGTTCTATGCCCTTGAACCTTGTGTAGCTTGGCCATGAAAAAAAGAACCGCTGTTTCTCATGCCCCCTACAGGAGGGACGGTATAAGTGCTCCTGCGGAGTTGCTAGTGGGATTCTCAGGGATGGAAACACAGCATTTGATGGCTTCCTCTGTTAGGGTCAGAGGTGAGGCCTGAGATCAGGACCTTGCCTGGAGCCTCCATGAAGGCCATTAAAACCACCGGCGTGTGCCTTTTGAGTTCAAAGTCTTTGCTCCCACAGGCTGCTGTCCACCATCACGGAGCCCACCTCGGGAGGGTCCTGCCATCCGCCCTTGGCTGAGGAGACCTCGTCCTCCCCACTGGTCAACGAAGAGAGCGAGATGGACAGGACCGACCACGGGGGCATCAAGAAAGTGTGTTTCAAGGTGTCTGAGGAGGATCAGGAGGACTCAGGTCATGACACCATGAGCTACCGTGACTCCTACAGGTGGGGGCACTTGTGGGCGTCATCTGGGGTTTGACATGGGTGGCCAGTGGGACGGTTGAGGCCACTGACCTGTGGTAAAGTCAGAATTAGAGGGACATTTTCCAGGAAGCAGTGGGATGGGGCACTGTTGCTAAGCCATGGGTTCTGGGGGTTATCTAAGCCCCCAACGCTAACGTTGCAGGCTCTGCCCCCTTGTGGGCTCTGCCCCCTTGTGGCCATCACCCGTCCATTCTGCTCCGGGGCTGCTCTGCGCACGCTGATGGAATGCGGTCAGAGAAAAAGTCGAGATCTGTGGTGTGTCTTAAAACTTACATGGTTTCTGCAACAAGCACTTTATTTTTACTTGATCCCAGGAGGAAGGCAGTTTTTTCCCTCCTCACTCTGAGAGGGTCTGAGTATTTTTTTTTTTTACTGGTTAAGTTAATTATAACAAGATCAGTGAAGTCCTAATTAGTGGGTTAAATGGACTAAAAATTCAATTTCCTGTAATAAACCATGTGGTGGGTGAGTGGAAGTCCTTACCACAAATAAACAGCGCCGTGGGCTCCAGGGAGAGGTTCTGTAACATTTGATCGCGTGGGGAGAGTAGAACCTTGGAGGGTGCTTCAGTTGTTTTGGGCAAAATACAGAACGGCTGGAATTTGACATGAATGACCTTCGCCCCAGCCTCCCGGCATTCGTGTCTGTCAGTCTCCGAGGGGGTCTGACTGGCCCGTGTTTCTGGCGGAGTTTCTGTATAGGCAGATGTTCCCGGCACCTCGAGTCCACAGCCCGAGGTTTCCCCATCTCTCTGGGTTTCCAGTCTGACGTGTTTGGGTCTTCCAATTTTTCCTTTAATTTTCAAAAAGGTGAAGGAAAGAATTTCAGGGTTGTGGTTTTTGATTTCCATACCTTCTGAGTTCCTGGGACACAAGCTAAGAGAACACGGTCCTGTCCTCAGGAGGTTCCCAGCCAGGCTGTGGAGATGAACACGGAACCGTGTGGTCGAGGGTGGCATGTGCACACGTGTCCAGGAACCAGGCTTCTCCCATGAGGGGAGTGACGGAAGTTTACTCCCAAATAAAAGCAAAAAACTGTCCTCTTACTATTCCTGCATTTCTGTGCGGGGCCGAGAAATGTTTCTCCACCATCAGAAAATCCTTCAGGTCAGCCTTCCCCGTCTCTGGCACCCTTTCTGGACCAGTTGTCCTCTGAGGAGCTAGGGATTTTGTCTACACTCAGAAAGTGGGTTCTGGGTGCCGGGACCAGAGGGTGTGAGCTGGAGGGTGACTCCTGTCTTCCTCTCTGCCCCTTCGCAGCGAGTGCAACAGCAATCGGGACTCCGTCCTGTCCTACACCAGCGTGAGAAGTAACAGCTCCTACCTGGGCAGCGACGAGATGGGGTCTGGTGAGTGCAGCGGCTCCTGTTCGAGGGCAGGGGGTCCCCAGCGGGACTTGGTTTTGTTTATTTTATTGCACTTTACTCGGTGTTGTCTTATACGATGTTTTTCAGTCTGATAGTGCCTTTCCTTTCATTCACTCACTCAGCACATTTTATTGAGCACCTGTGTTGTGCTGGGATCACAACAAGGAACCAAACAAAAGATCCTGGCCTCGTGGAGCTGACGTTCTCCACGAATGTCATGGGACACGGAACACATGAAAACATACATGATGCCTTAGAGATTGCGATGAGTTGCTCTGACGTCACTAAAATAGGGCGACTTGGTGGTTTCCATGACACGTGCTCAAACCAAAAATTCAGACGACATAGGAAAGTTCAGAAGAAGTACATGACAGTAAGTCAGAACCCCCAGAAATGACCAACCGTCACGTGTGGAGACCATTGGTGAGCACAGTCTGCACAGATGGACATGTGGGTGATGGCTGGGTGGACAGACAGACAGACATTGTACTCTATAAATTAGATCATCCTGAACTTACAACTTTTTCTGAAAGACTGAAATTTGCTTTGATTTTAGTTTCATTGATTTCAGCTTTTAAATGTTTTATTCTGTGAATAGGCTATAAATCCACTTGCTTCATAATTGAAAAGGCACGAGAGGGCGGGTGGTGACAGGCCTCCCTCCCCCTGGCAACCCCGTCTCCCGGTTCCCCAGCTCCCACGGTCACAGCTGCGTTGTGTGACCTTCCAGTGGTCGTCTGGGCATAAAAATTTAATTTCAATTTTTTTTTCCAATTTAACAGAAGAAAGAGAAGCACAAGTAACGTTGAAGATATTGCTGAACTTTAGATAAATATTTCATCACATAAGATATTCGGCTATAAAAACTACCCCTGGGGAGGTTTGAGGAAGGAGCTTCCGTGTGGCGGCTGCTTGAACGGAAGCAGCTGGGGGATGGGTCGGAGACTTGGGGTCCAGCTCCTTCTCTCTGGCTCGCCGTCTCCTCATTCGCAGAGTCTCGGGAGGAAGAACAATGACTTACAGTTGTGTAATGCTTTAGTTCCTGCTGCCCATTTTGAAGGTGAAGAAACTGAGGCTCAGAGAGGTCAAGAAATTTGCCTGGTGTCACACAGCCAGGATCCCGATCTGTCAGACTCCAAATCCACTGTGGGTTTTGGAGCTCTGCAGCGACGTAGCCTCCTTGGGCAGGTGTGAGATGGGTCGGAAACAGTTTGCTGATGGCTGTGGCTTCTTCCTCTGGCCAGGGGACGAGCTGCCTTGTGATATGCGGATCCCGTCAGACAAGCAGGACAAGCTTCACGGCTGCCTGGAGCATCTCTTTAACCAGGTAGGACCTTTGTTCCCCCCCCTGGCCGGACCGTGGGTCTCTCCCGTCACCCGGGGTGAGAACCCATAAGCCAGAACCTGGGTCAGGCGCTGGGAATCCAGGGTCGCTGCAACCTGGAGGCCACAGGAGCCACACTGACCTCGAGCCTCCTGCCGCCAGGTGGACTCCATCCACGCACTCCTCAAGGGGCCAGTCATGAGCAGGGCTTTTGAAGAGACCAAGCATTTCCCTATGGACCACTGCTTGCAAGGTGAGCACAGGGGCGCCCCTCCACAGGGCTGGGCATGACATCCAGCATCTAACAAGGAGACGGTGAGGATGGGGAATGGGTGCCGACGGGGGGCAGGGCCCGGGCTCACACTCTCAGCCTTGCCCCTCTCCTGCCCAATGGCTAAGGGCTCGTCCAGGGGTCAGCAAGTTCAGCCCACAGGCCAAATCCAGCCCATAGCCTGGTTCTGTACAGACTGTGACCTGAGAATGATATTTTCACTTATAAAGAGGAATAAAAACAAAATAGAATAAATGAACACATGGCAGACACCGTAAGCCCTGCAAAGTCTCAAGCAGTTTCTACCTGACTCTTTTAAAAAATATTTTTAATGATTTCAGAGAGGAAAGAAAAGAGAAAGAGAGGGATAGAAACATCAATGATGAGAATCATTGATCGGCTGCTTCCTGCACACACCCCACCAGGATTGAGCCTGAAACTTGGGCCTGTGCTCTGAATGGGAATTGAACCATGACTTCCTGGTTCATAGGTCAACACTTAACCATTGAGCCACGCTGGCCGGACTACCTGGCTCTTTACAGAAAAAAATCTGTGGACCCCTGGGTGGGTCCCTGAGCCTCTCTGGGCCTCTGTCGTCCCGTCTGTAACAGGAAGGGAGGGACTGGAGCATAATTCACCAACCCTGGGGACCTTCAGCCTGCCTCCATCATGTAACTCACATTCACAGAATCTACCTACGTCTTTATATTTTTAAAAAGCATATTCATTTGCTGCCTGCATTATTATTGACATAACTTCATTGAAAAAGTGATCCCCTTTAAAAGATGTAATTTTGTAAGGAACGTTTTAAACTCCCCATATATGGAAAACCTGAATAACATGCCATGAAATAACGACGACTGTGATAAACTCAATGGAAACAGCCACGAAAAATGTCATCATACTGCAGTCAGGGTCTGCTGCCTGCCCAGAGTGCTTTGCTCCTCCCTCATGAGAAGGATCAGTAAAGAAGTGTTAAGGACTCACCCACCAAATTGGGACTTACTTCTTGACATGATTGAGAGAAAAAAAATTGACATGTATGTCCTCCAACCCACCTTTCCTCCCATTTACCCATCTACCCACCTACCCATCCATCCACCCACCCACCCATCCATCCATCTATCCACTCCTCACTCATCCATCCATCCATCCACCCACCCATCCATCCACCATCTATCCATCCACTCATCCATCCATCCATCCACCCACCCATCCATCCACCATCTATCCATCCACTCATCCATCCATCCACTCCCCACTCATCCACCCATCCATCTACCATCTATCTAGCCACTCATCCATCCATCCATGCATACACTCCCCACACATCCATCCATGAAGCTATCCATCCAGTAAATAATTTCCAGGAACCAGTTTGTGCCAGACCTTGTGCTGGGCACTGGAGGCCCTGAGATGAATGTGACACTGCGCTGACCTCCAGGAGCTCCCAGTTGGGTGCAGGAGATAGGAAAAGAAACAGGCAGTTGCTCCTAAATGAGGGTAGGAAGTGTGGAGAGTTGGGCTGCCCTAGCTCAGCTACCCCTCCTGCTGTCTCAGGATCATCTCTTCCAGGATCAGACCTCAGAAAGCAGAAACATCAAGCCCAGAGGAACCAGAACCATAAATATCTCAGAAACTCTGGGCATTGTTGCAGGGAAGAGGCCCAAGAAACAGGGGCCTATGTCTGCCAGGGTCAGGTTCAAGTCTCAGCTCTGTCACAACTCAGCTATGTGACTTTAGGCAAGACACCTCCCCATTCTGTGCCTGGGCTTTCTCCTCTGTATAGGGAAAAGGTTAAAGGTTCCTTAGTCATGTGCCAGCTTGATTGGCGTGGCTATGTGGAGGTAGTACCTGAGAAGAGAATGCAGTGATTGATTTGTGATGTCTGCAAGCTTAGGAGAAGAGAATGCAGTGATTGATTTGTGATGTCTGCACTGGATTGGTATCAGTGGTGAGGAGTTACACCTCAACTAGCAGGACGGTGTGCTAAGATTGATGAGTGATGTCTGCCATGGGCGTGGTACTATGAATCAGTAGCACACTTGCCATGTATTTGCCCTCCGTGGACCAGATAGTACCCGAGTCCATCCTTGCTCTTGGATTCTGAGCCTTGGAATCTGATGATGGGACATAGGCCTTTGTGCCACTGTTCTCCAAAGCGACTCTGCCCCTTTCCTGCCCTCATATCACTTTCCTGCCCCAGAGTTCAAACAGAAAGAAGAGTGTACAATTCGTGGCCGGAGCTTGATCCAGATCAGCATCCAGGAGGACCCCTGGAACCTCCCCAACTCCATCAAGACCCTAGTGGACAACATTCAGAAATACGTGGAAGGTCAGTTGGGCAGGGAAGGGTAACGTGGCGGGTTTGTGGCTGTTGATTCTTAGTGTGGAATGTGGAAGGATCAGGAGTGGGTCCAACTCTATGTCCAGGGGTTAGGGGGATGGGGAAGAGGACTCATGGCCCTGCCCTGGGCAGAGCCCTGGAACTGTGTACAGGCACGTGATTAAGGAACGTCTGATTTGGGGTGCCGGGGGCTTCCTTGCAGAGTCAGGAAGCTGAGAAGGCTGAACTTACCCCTTCTTTTTCAGAAATTGTAGATTTAATTCAGTTCCTTTTATCTATTATCAAGGCCACAAGCTGGGTGTCCCCTGATCAGACTTGGGCCCACAGATGGGCTTTGATGATATAGCATAAAAAAAAGTGAATCGGTTGCCAGTGCTTCATTATCTGAGATGTCACATAACAATCTAGATTTCTGGCTACTCCTGAACAGTCAGGGGATCTGGCATTAACAGGCCTGCAGTCCCACAGTCACACTTGGGTGGTGAGTGGCAGCTGCCGTCTTAGATGGGAGAGGGGTGACTTCCAGTTCACAACAGTCCTCATCACTGCCTGCTTCCTGGTGTCTGCCTCACACAGTTGCCTGCCTGACCCTTGGCATCATTTGAGTCCGGGATCCTGGCTTAGAAGGACCCTAGGCCAGGAGACATTTGACCAGGACAGCCAGAGGGGCCAAGCTTCAGAGCCATCCCCCAGGAACAGCGCCTGAGTTGGCCTTTCAGATTTTTCTTTTAAACCCCTTCTGGGCCTAAGAGCCTTTTTTTGAAGGAAAGAGACCAGGATGTTAGGCCTGTGTTCAGAAGGTCTGAGCTTTGTCTATGCGGGTGCAGGGCTGTGGCTGTGTAGACTGTGCATACGCGCCCGTGTGCTTGCATGAACGTGTAAGCATATAAGCGTGTGTCCACATGCATGTGCAAGGTGTGGGCTGGGGGCTCTGGCCCGGGAGTTGGAGGGGCTGGTTTCCGTCTCTGTTTGGTGGGTGTATGTAAACAGTTGGGGTACAGCTAGCAGTTGGGGTTCCATCCCCTGGAAATGGAGGGTTTCTGGAATTCACTCAATATTCAATCGGAGCTTCTTTAGCGCAACTGTTCATATTCAGAGCGTCCCTGCGCAGGGCTTGGGGCTTGGGCCTTGGCCTTCTGGGAGGGCCCAGCTCTGCTCGAATCTGTGCTAACCTCTCAGCTCATTCTTTTTCTCTGCTTCCCTTTCCAGATGGGAAGAACCAGCTGCTCCTGGCCTTGCTGAAATGCACAGGTGAGGGCTTTGAAGCAGCAGTCTCTGTGATGGGCACAGAGGCGTATCCAGGAGAGGGCATCCTGGCTGGCAGTGGTGCTCATGACGGCAGCCCAGCGAGGCCTCTTCTGCCGGCCGAGGTTGATATTCTCGTGGTCATCAGGGCCTGGACCCGGGGGAGGGAGTGACTCTGTGGCTCTTGCACCCAGAACTCCTTAGACCTCGTGTTCTTCCTCCTCTTGAGTCCAGGGCCAAGTCTCAGGGCCCTGGAGCCAGGAGCCCTGTGTCTTGCCACCTCCCAGGCCCGAGGACAGGAGACAGAGGACTGATGACCAGTCGAGTCCTCAGCCCCACGTGGGACTTCTACCCGGCAGACAATGGGGAGGAGGGAAGGGCAGATGGTGGGCTCGGGGAAGCTGGGAGGTGTTCTCTGTCCCTCCCTTCTTTCCAGAAATTCTTCGCCAAGTGGCAGCTAAAATAAGATCTAGGTCAAAATTGGTCTCTGAAAATCAGTTGACTAGAGCCAGTCATTGGAAATAATTCCTTCCAGAGGATCGGGCCCTGGATGAATGATTGCCTGAAATTAGCCAGTTCTGCAAACCATGTCAGGACAGGGGCAAGGAAAGGGAGGCAGGAAGAGGCTTCTCAAAAATAGAGAAAATGGTAAACGGCATTTCTTAAAAGCATGGAGCTTGGCAGACATGCTTGGCGTCATTGCTGTCCTGCCAGTCAAGGTTGAGCAATCCCCTAACCAATGGAGAGACAACTGAGTGAGGTTTTGGGAAAGTCTCAGGAAAAATCACAAGGCAGATGGATCAATGAGAGAGTTGCGATTTTCAGTAAATTGGCTTGCTTTTGGAGAATTGATCGTTGTGGGGTTGGCTTTTGGTGGCTGGGATTGATTTTTGGCGAGCTGGCCCCAGATGGTGGGCCTGCTGGGGCTGGTGGTTGGTTCTGGGCCTGGGCTTTGGGGCTTGGGGCAGGAGCACCTTTCAGCGAGCCCATCCCCGCTCTCCAGACACCGAGCTGCAGCTGCGGAGGGACACCATCTTCTGCCAGGCCCTGGTGGCCGCGGTGTGCACCTTCTCTGAGCAGCTCCTGGCAGCGCTCAGCTACCGCTACAACAACAACGGCGAGTACGAGGAGAGCAGCCGGGATGCCAGCCGCAAGTGGTTGGAGCAGGTGGCGGCCACCGGCGTCCTCCTGCACTGCCAGTCCCTGCTGTCACCAGCCACTGTGGTGAGTGAGGGGAAGAGGGATGAGTGCCCTGGGAGCCAGGCACCAGAGTTAAGTTAGGGTTTTTCAAAATGCTGACACGCCGAGCTCAAAAGGTTCGCCATCACTGCTCTAGACTCTAGACTAGAGGGAAAGGAACCCTAAACAGTACCCTAGCCATTTCTGACCCATGCTTAGAGGATGGTGACCCAGGGCAGGTTCCCTAGAATCTAGAGCAGTGGTTCTCAACCTTCTGGCCCTTTAAATACAGTTCCTCATGTTGTGACCCAACCGTAAAATTATTTTCGTTTCTACTTCATAACTGTAATGTTGCTACTGTTATGAATCATAATGTAAATATCTGATATGCAGGATGGTCTTAGGCGACCCCTGTGAAAGAGTCGTTCGACCACCAAAGGGGTCGCGACCCACAGGTTGAGAACCGCTGCTCTACAGCTTCCTAGACATTTTCCCAGGCAGGGCTGAAAGCCACAACTGCTGGCTGTTGGGAAAGCGTGGCCTAGGGGCGCCCTCTGCTGGCCCGTTTGGCACACAGATCGCTTTCTTCTGGTTCCTGGAAAGTGCCACCCGGGCCTGGAAAGGCCCCAGGAACACTCAGCCCTCACCGTCTGTCCTCAGACCAGAGCCCAGTGCGTTAACTCACCCGTCACCACCACGTGCCGGGCTCGGAGCTGGGCACAGGGTGTCAGAAGCTCACTTTCTAGTTGGGGGAAGCAGTTTGGAAAGAAGGAAGGAAGGAAGAGGGAGGCGAGACGGACAGGAGGTAGTTATACAGAAGACTTAGAAGGTGATTACGTTTCTTTGGATTTAAATGGTCAGAGATGTCCTCTCTGAGGAGGTGATGTTTGAGCTGAGACCTGAGTACCAAGATAGCCCGCTAGGTAAATGGTCCGAGGAAGAGTGTGCTGGGCTGAGGGAACAGCATGTGCAAAGGTCCCAAACAGGGGCCAGTGTGGCTGGAGGGGAGCAGGCCAGGGGGATCAGGGTATGATGTCAGCAGGGCCACATCTACAGGGCCTAGGACTTTATTCTGGAAGCAGAGGGAGGGTTCAGAGGCTTTGAGCAGCAGTCACAGGGCAACCCCAGGAGTCTGCCTGTAGATCTGGTAATCCCTAGGCTGCCCTCTCCCTCTGCATCTCCGGTTTTACCCCTGGCTGCCCCGTGTCCGGGGAAGGGTGGCATAGGGGGACCTGTGAAAAGGCTGGTGTGTCCTCCTGGAGACGGGGATCTTGTGTTGGGGGTGGTGAGGAGGGTTGAGGGAGATGCTGGATCTGGGGTATGTTTTGAAGGTCAGCCTATCAGGACTTGGAGATGGGCAGTGTATAGGGTGGGCAGAGAGAGAAATCAAGAAGTCCTTGCGGTCAAATTTAGGGCTCTGTGCTGAGATGGGGCCCATGGCAGGGGGGTGAGGAGGAGAAGAAGGACTTTTGGGGGCGTGCCACGTTTGAGATGGTTGAGTTGGATTGCTGGATGGTCTGGGCAAGAGGGCCACCCGGCACATTAGAGCAGAGCTGGGTTCTAGCCTTGGCAGGTTCAGGACAAGGGAACCCGATTTCACATCCGGCCCCTGAGAGCCCAGCGGAGCCTGGTGCCTGGTAGGCCCACAGCGGGTGTGTCGGCTGGTGTTGAGTCACAGCATCTTGAAGTGAACCCTGGGGCAGGGGTGGCATCTGACACTCCTCCTCCCGTCTCCCTCCTGCAGAAGGAGGAACGGACCATGCTGGAGGACCTCTGGGTGACCCTGTCGGAGCTGGACAACGTCTCCTTCTCCTTCAAGCAGCAGGACGAGAACTACGTGGCCAGTGAGTGATTCCCCGCTCCCAACATGAGTCGGGGAACTGCGTTGGGGACCACCCTGCCCCCAGGCCAACTGCCCAAGGCCGACCTGGGACCCAATACTTTCAAACCTCATGCTCTCAACATACATGGAAAAAGAGGGTATATTTTTGTATAAACCCCATTGTCTCCAGAAGCTCTTAAAAGGGGGGAACAACCAGTACCCAGTTCTTACTAAAATTTCTAGAGATATCCATTATTGGGGTGAAGACTTGTTAATATTTTCTAAGAATTTATAGCACAATTAAGTCCCTCCCTCCCTTCCTCGCTCCCTCTACCTGCCCACCATTCATCCACCCATTCATCCCCCTACTTATCCATCCCCATCCACCGTCCCACCTATCCATCCCCCACCCACCTACCAGCCATTCATCCACTCATTCTCCACCCATCCACACATCCCTAATTATGAGCACATGATATGTGTCAGGCACAGTTTTCAATCCTGAGGCCACCGTGGAGAAATATGGCCGTGGCTCCTGCCTCCTGAAGCCCACGGGCCCGCCCAGCAGGTCTCAGCCCAGCTGCTGGTATTCAAAGACACCGATCCCCATCCCAGCCTCAGCCCTGGCCGGTGGAGTCACTCTGTGGGGTGGATCCTGGGCATTGGGGTTCTAGAAAAGCTTTCCAGGTGACTGTGAGGTACAGCCAGGATTGAGGACCCCTGGGCTGGGATCTGTTGCCACTTTTCTATGAGTGTGGTCCCGGGACCTGCAGCCACTGGGACCTCGTTAGAAAGGCGAATCCTCAGGCCCCATCCCAGACCTGGAAGTGGAGCCCATAGACCTGTGTTGACAGGGACTGGGCGGGTTTGAAGCACACTCGTTTGGGAACCACTGCTCTAGGTCAGTGATTCTCAACTTTTTAAAAATGATCACCTCCGTAAGGAGTCGGTTTAGTTTTTTCCTAATTGCTGCAACCCCATTACATTTTAATACCACGGATATACTATATGTCTGTTTAGGTACTGTATGTGTACCTGTGCTTTATACATAAAAAGAGTCCTTTCTTTTTGGGTCATTGCCCCAAGAACCAATTTTTATCTCCTTAGGGGTGATTTCACCCTGTTGAGAATGTGTGAAAATCTAAAGGGACAATAGATTTTGTTTCAGGTGCCAATTGGAATTGATGGTCAGTTCTATCAATAGGCAAAGTTGGGCTTAGGGAGACCTATTGATTGATTAGTTATGTCTGCCATAGGTGCCAGATGGGGCATTAGTGATTGATTAATGATGTCTGCCACGGGTGCCATATCGGGTGTTGATACCATGCCTCCCATAAACTGTACCCTCTGAGTGTAAATAAATGAGGGCAGCATTTGTCAGGCAGAGGCCTGGGGTACCAGGTGAGGAGGACAGGAAACATTCGTGAGGCTCTGAAGACAAACACTGACAACCGCCCAGCTGGGCAAAGTCAGTGTCAGGTCTAGGAATTGAGCAGTGGGAACTGGGACCTGTTGAAAGAGGTGAAAAGGGAGGTGAGAGGCTGCTCTTCTGAGCATGGGAGGCCTGGGCTGTCTGAGGCTACCCCCGGGGGATGGGAGGGCAGGGAGGCCTGAGGGCAGACAGGTGACCCAGGATGCCACCCTGAAGGTAGGAGGCACGGGGGTCTAAGGCTGCCCCTCTGGGGTGGGGAGAACAGGACATCCCACTGGAGGTCTGGAGGAAGGTCTGAAGCTGCCCTAACAAAGGTGGGCAGGGCTCCCCTGGGCTTGGGTGGTGACCTGTCCGGCCCCCCATGTCCTCCCACAGACACCAATGTCTTCTACCACATTGAGGGCAGCCGGCAGGCGCTGAAGGTCATCTTCTACCTCGACAGCTACCACTTCTCCAAGCTGCCCTCCCGCCTGGAGAGTGGGGGTAGCCTGAGGCTGCACACCGTGCTCTTCACGAAAGGTGAGCTGTGGGGTGCTGAGGGGGCCCACAGGGGACACCCAAGGCTCAGAGCACACCGGGACCCCACCACCTGCCCGCCCTCTTCTTCCTTCACAGCCCTGGAGAACCCAGAGGGGCCTCCTCCTCCAGGCAGCCAGGTGGTGGAAGACTTGCAACAGGAGATCAACACCCAGTCCCTGGAGAAGGTTCAGCAGTATTACCGCAAACTCAGGTATCTGCCCGGGGCACATGCTGGGGGCAGGAATCTGGACACTGCTGCGGGAACGGGGTATTAGAATATAGGGCACCAGGCAGCCCCCAGCATGGGAGTGGGCAAAGTGCCTTTTCCTGAGCACCTACTGTGTGCCAGGCCCTCTGCCTACACATGCTCATCAGGTTCTCACAACAGTCACGGTTGGTCATTCTGAACCACTTTACAGACGACGAAACGGAAGCCCAGAGTGGGTGCCCAGCTTGCCCAAGGCCACAGAGCTGGATGGTGGCTGAACTGAGCTTGGAACTGGGTCTGCTTGGCTTCCGAGCAGGTCCTTGCAACCGAGAGGAGCTGCCTGTCTCATTTCATGTGGGCTGGGAGCTGGGTGGGATTGTTGAGCCTGTGAGTAAGGGGTGTGGCCCCCAGGGCCTTGGCCGGGCTCAGAGGAGACCCCCTGAGAGAAGTGGAGGGAGCAGGGCCACATTCTCAGGAGGAAGCCTCACACCAGGGAAGCAGCTTCCCTACCCCCACCCTCACCCTAGCCCTTCCTCCCCACCTTCTCCCTCTGGGGAAAGGAGGCTGAAGGTCAGCAGACCAAGCTTCAGGGGCTGGGTAAGCGCTGTACTGTTTTGGGGTTTGGCTTTACTATTTGGAAATGGAAGCTGATGCTTTCAGGGAAAACACCCAGTTTTGTTATTAAAACTGGCATCTCTTCGGATTGATCGATGCCATCAATCTGCTCCATGCTGCTGTTGAATATTGAAAATATTACATCTCTGATCCTTTGTTTATTCCTTCCTTCGTTCAGCACATGTGGGCCAGGCTCTGTTCTGGGTGCTTGCTCGGGAGTCAGTAGTGGCCCATAAAGCCTCTTCTTCATGGACCATAGATTCTAGAGCAGCAGTTGTCTGGCTCATCCCCCGTTTTGTCAATAAAGTTTTATTAGCACACAGTCATGCTCATTTACGTATGGATGTCTTCGGCTGTTCTTGTGCTACAGTGGCCAGGCTCAGTAGGGTTTTGATAGAGACTGGTCCACGCAGCCCAAAATACTGACTGCTTGGCCCTTCCAGAAAAAGTTCCCGAGTCCTGCTCCAGAGGGGGCGATGGCAATAAGCCAGGGAACAAAGCGATGCAGCGTGTTACGTGGTGAGAGTATTCAGAGGACAGAGACGCAGGACAGGGGTTGGGGGGGGGGTCAGGTGCTGACCAGCTGACCAGGACAGGCCATCAGGGAGAGGTGGCATTTGAGGGGTGCCTGGAGGCCCCTTTTGCTCCCCCCCTCGGGCTGTGGCAGGGACGGAGCGTGGAGAACTGTGCAAGGCGCTCTCAGTCGTTTCTTT